AAATTGGTCAAATAGTATATTTAAATATAATTTATTATATAATATATATATTATATTTATATAATCGATTTGACCAATTTGACCAGTAAATTTTTGGTCGACCACTAATTAGCCCAACATTGACAGTATTATATAATTTTTTCATTGTTCAATTGATCGGTATCGAATTTCAAGGATTAAATTCAATCAAATCGAAAGATCTTAAAAGAATTTTACTAAAGCTAATATTTTTTAAAAACTTGTGATATGGCATAAAATAACGACTACAATAATAAACCTATGTGCATAAAACCTTCCTCTCGTCTAAAATTTCTACAAAAAATTAATCATATCGTTTTTTAAATGTATTTTCAGCCATTTTGATAACTCTTTTTTTGTCAAGCACCTTCTCAATCACGATCACATTAAATTTACCAGACCTATCTACCTTTTCACTTATCTCAAAGTTCGGAAAATATTCTAAAAGCCCTTTCTTTATAAATTCAAAATATTCAGAAACGCAATAAAACCCATATCCTCCTTCAACAAAAATATGCCACTCTTTACTATAATTAACGAATGGCCTATAATGAAAATGAAAATATATCTCAAGAATCTTAAGATGAAAAAATTTGTTACGTGCGTAGTTAGCTATTTCTTGAACAAAATCACACAGAATATCTGAATCATAGCGATGCAATTTATCGTGAAAAGCTTCCATAGGTTTGATTAACAAACAATCCAAGTCCCTCTCAAACCTTTTCAATTCAATTCTATACTTAATATTATAAATCGGAAAAATATCATTCTCATAATAATCCTTCACGACTGGAATCATCAAAGGACTAATCTCAAGCATTTTAAGAACTCGAACTTTCCCACCCTTAAAATAAAAGTGATTAGTACTTATCGTAAACGATTTGTAAAGATTTCAAAAATACTTACTATTGTTTAAAATAAATCATTAGTAAATAAATAAAGACAACTAATAAAGGCAACTTAATCATACACACCTTTATAATCCACTTGATCAATCGATCCAAATTCATTTGAATTTTTGTAATATATATACATGAACGTGTTAGGCTTCCTTACTAAGAAAATCTCATTGACAGAAAAAATATCTTCTCCGAAGGAAAAATAAACAGGGCCATACAATCTTTCTTCGACTGTATTTGCTAGAATATTCATTTCAGTGACAGAATTCATATGCTTGCCTACGGCAAAGAAATTGCATTAACTTATTAACCTTGTCAAGAACTTTTTTAAAGCTAAAATATGCAACCATAATTTATTAAACACGTTGACTCTATTTTATAATCTTACTTTGAGTTGTAACCAAGGACTGATTGGAGTTTTCAGCAGACATTATAATTGATTTTCTTTGAAAAAGATGAAAGAAAAAAGCAACAACCAAGGCTACATTTATAAAAATTTCAGTCTAATATCATGGGCAAACAATTTAAATACATCATTATATCGCGGATGATCAATTCACGTGATCACATGATCCGTTTTAAAGGAACCGGATTAAATTTAATTATCGCTGTTTTCGAAACAGTTGAAAATGCCAAATAAATTTTTTTTTTTCGACGTACACCCAAACACCAGTACACCCGTACACCCGATTAGGTGAAAACATTGATGGTAGGGGAGTGGACGGTTTTCTGGGGGTGCGGAATTGAT